AAAAAAAAAAAAAACACGTCTCACGCTTACCTGTCCTGTGTAGACTGAACAGCCCACAGGTAACAGCAATTACGAGGGTCGTTCTCCGGCTCTTGAAAAGTAAGCGCGTACACGGGAACTCGTCCACCTTCCAACTGAGTGTAGTACCTACAACAGGCACAAAAAGTGGTCTGCGTCATACTGTTAACTGGTGGTTTCCTGAAGAAAGAATCAGGGGTCTTGGGACGATCTCGGGTTAGAGCAACTGCCGTTCACGCAATCGTCTCATCTTCAAAGATACACAGGGCGTACCAGGTCACGGACGACCGTGGGCGCGGCGCTGGAAGGGCTAAAACCACTACGAGGGCACCTTCCAGCCCCGCGAGTGCCACCGTGTGCTGCTCCCCGGGGAGGCAGCCGGGGGCGCTGAAACCCCGACACAGCGCGTCACCTTGGCTGCTCGCCCCGGGCCAGTTTCCCCATCGCGACACCGGAGCGGCGAGAGCCCGAGGGGCTCCCGTAAAGCACCTAGAAATCAGCCCCGAGAGGCCGGCCGGCGCTGGGGAAGAGCCGGAGAGGCCGGTCCTCCAGGCTCTCGGGAGCAATTCAAAGACAAGAGCTGGGAAAGGGTTCTCCGCCCAGAGAGCCAAGGTGGCCTTCCCGAGGGGGCCACCAGGCGACAGCACCACCACCTCATCATGGGTACCTTGCAAAACCCAAACCAAAAGAAAGGGCTCTGAGGAGGTGCAAGGACGGAAGTTACTTCAAGGGCTTGTCATTCTCTGATATTATCAAAGAACTCAACAGTGAGCAAAGGGCCTGGTTTGAGATGAGAGAACCTCGTTAGTTTCCTCCTCTCTTTTCTCGTCCGCTTCAAACGTGGCATAGGGTATACACTGATTACCAAGACGAGCCCGGTAGGTACCAATTTCTTGGTGAGAATAATGAAACAGAAAGTTTGGAAGAGCGACTACTGTTGACTTTTTGGCAAGATAAATTACTCAAGAAAACATTCCAATAGGCCTTGAAAAAAAATGGAGAAATATCAAATTAACAACTTGGGAGAAAAACGGGCGTCCGCTTAACTCTGCACAGAGACCAGAAGTCTGTAATGCCTATTTGCTACCTTCCTCAGCAAAGGGCTACTTCCCTCAATAAAGGGTCAATTCCACAGCATTTTAAGGACTTTTTACGAATTTTTTTTTTTTTTTTTTTTACATAATCTCCACACCCAACGTGGGGCTCAAACTCACAACCTCAAGATTAAGAGCCGCATGCCCTACTGCCTGAGCCAGGCACGTGCCTTCAGCAATCTGAACGCCAAAAATACCAATTTAAAAAGTATCGATACAGGGGCGCCTGGGTGGCGCAGTCGGTTAGGCGTCCGACTTCAGCCAGGTCACGATCTCGCGGTCCGGGAGTTCGAGCCCCGCGTCGGGCTCTGGGCTGATGGCTCGGAGCCTGGAGCCTGTTTCCGATTCTGTGTCTCCCTCTCTCTCTGCCCCTCCCCCGTTCATGCTCTGTCTCTCTCTGTCCCAAAAATAAATAAAAAACGTTGGAAAAAAAAAAAAAGTATCGATACAATCGAGGGAAATTTAAACAGGATAAAAATTTCAAAACATGGTATCTTTTAACGTTGATTTTAAAAAAGTCTCTGTTTTTCCATCAACCAAGAACTTCTACCATTAGCTTTACACGTGTGGTTATAAGGAAAGTACTCTGGACAGAATTTGTACTCCGTAAATATATCGCTTACCTTTACAGAGTGGTGTTTTACTAGCAAATGGCACACAATAACTGAAATGCCTTTTAAATATACACCAAAAGACTCGACCTAAATTCACGTGCTAAGTCATTCCTTTATATCAAGCTGTGATTTCATGCAGTAAGGAATTATTCACACTCAACTGGTCACCTATCCTACTTTTTCTCTTTATGCTAATTTTAAAATAGTAATACCTGAGTACAAGCTATATTCAGAAAGCAGCTACCAATGAACAAACGAGAAAAAAGTTGTACTTACTCTCTTTTCATGCTTTTCATATTCCACAGAGCTAGATAGCCATCGGAAAAGCCCACGGCCAGCTGGTTAGTCCTGCCGATGTAACAGAGCGCCGATGCAGCTGTCCCAGACGGGCTTGCGAGCTGGAGGCCCAGATGGCGCCCTGCCCGCATCACGGTCTCTCTGATGTGCGGCACCTCAGCTGGGATGCCGGTGATGACTTCAAGGTCTGGAGACACAAAGGGAGTAAGATTAACAAATCGTAAAGAGCACAAAAGCGAACGGGTCACCTGCTAGGCAAACTTCAGCTGAAGACCACTGTGGTCAATTACGACAAGATCCACGATGACAAAGCAGGCTGAACTATACGACGGCCACCTGTATCTGTTCAAACGCTACGATTTTCAAAATATATTTAGTTGTGTAATTTTTTTTAAAAATCTCATGGTACGTTTTCAAATATTCTCAAAAGTATGCTCTTCTTTTTAAAGTATTAAACAATTTCCTTACTAATCAGAAACAAAGCTGATGGTTTCTTTATTTAAATTTAGAACTAAGAACCTAAATATTCCCTTTGGAGCAATGGCCGGTTCCAGGTCTGGGGCAGGAAATACGTAAGATGAGCCTAGTTCATCTCGTGCCAGAAACAGAGGAAGCTATCATAGTCTAAAGGGGATTTGTCAGACTAAACGAAGGGGCTTTCATTAGTAAAAAATAACATTTTGAACATCAAAAAAACAATGAAAATGAATGAACGAAACACATTAAGTAAGTAAACACACACTCATAAAATCTCATGAGTTCCTATCCTGCTCACCTACAAAAGACCTTACTATAAACCATTTTAAGTCCCTGGGTACCAGCTCCTTACTCTGAAAATTAGTACTTAAAGAAATAGTAAGCATTTATCCTGCCTTTTCTGTACAAACTGTATTTCAGGGTAAACAAACAGCCCTAGTTAATGAGAAACTTCTTCCTTAGATTAACAGAATTTCAAAATCATCATTTTTGTATTCCCTAATGAATGAAGAGATTGAGGTAACAATCTCCATGGATGAGGGCTGCCTGGGTGGCTCAGTCGGCTGAGCGTCCGACTTCGGCTCAGGTCGTGATCTCGCAGTCCTGTGAGTTCGAGTCCCACGTCAGGCTCTGTGCTGACAGCTCAGAGCCTGGAGTCTGCTTCAGTTTCTGTGTCTCCTTGTCTCTCTCTGCCCCTCCCCAGCTTGCACTCTGTTTCTCTCTCAAAAATAAACATTAAGAAATTAAAACAAAACAAAACAGAACACGCTCTATGGATGGATGAAACAATGAATTTACGTAGGGTTTTCAAGACTGGCTCTACTGACGCTCGGGATCAGATCAATCTTTGCTGAGGAACGGTCCTATGCGTTGTGGGATGGTAAACTGCATCCCAGGCCTCTGTCTACCAGATGTCACTAACACCATCTCCCTCCAGGAGCAACAACCAAAAATGTCCTGAGACATCACCAAAGATCCCCTAGAGGGCAAACGTCACCCCTGGTTGAGAATCACCAGTACAAAGGTTGAGGGGAAACTCTACCAAGGAGAATCATGCGGTCATCCCCTGGACCTACTGATCACTAAAGGTGAAACGAGACACGACGTGCCTCCTGACGGGACACAGTATGAAACACCCAGCACTTCTGAGGAATCCCTGCCAGATGTCACATCTGACTCTAGTCAGAGCTAACTTACGTTCGCAGAAAATGCAAAATGTAAATGACACCACGTGTAAACACTTCGATAATTCAAAAATGTGGGGCATTCTACCAGATTAACTTCTTCAGCAAGGCAGTGGTACTACAAATAGAAAAGGAGAGGCGAGAGGGAGGACCACTCTATGTTCAAGGAGATATGGGACGTAACTCACATGTGATGCGTGGACCTTGTTTAGAGCCAGACTCAAACAATACAAATGCAAAAAGTTGCCCTAGAGGCCATCATAGCAATCTGACTTACGGATTAGTTACTAGACTACACCAAGGAGTTATTATGAATGTAGTCTGGACTGGTAATGGCATTGTGACTATATAGTGAAACAGCCATTATCTGCTTTAAATTAATTCAGAAGCAAAGGTGGGGGAGAAGGAAAAGAAAAAAAGACACTCATGGTAAGTTCTGAAATCAAACTTGAATTTAGGTTGATGGACGTGGAAATTCTTATATTCTTCTATCTACCAGAAGATGTCTGAAATCTTTCATAAAAAGGAAAAATACTCAGGCCCATATAGTGATATAACCCTTGTGCAAGGGCAGATTCCCTCAATGCTGTTATGAAGAGGGGAAAAATCATGTATTGTTCTTGAACGATTACTCTCCTGATCCCTTCCACTTCTGATTATTTTTCCAAAGAGCAAGTGACTAAATTTTGCCAAAATAAATAGCTCATACAATGGAATAATGTAAACTTACTCTTAAGAGAGTAAGATAGACTCTACTGTACTGATGTGGAAAGATGTACAATACCATTAAGGTTGAAAATATTATAAAACAGTATTTATAGTATAATAAACATCAGGAATTTCATTTTCTATGTTACATGTATACAATGAAGTCCAAATAGTTATAATCGTAACTATTTATCTTTTATAAGCAAAAAAACCAATTTTGCATTAAACCCCAATTTTTTATTCAATGGCTTTATAATTCTTGTAACTGAGAAATGATTCCGATCTCTGATCACGATCCAAAGAATTCCATTATAAAAACTATCCTTGGGGCGCCTGGGTGGCGCAGTCGGTTAAGCGTCCGACTTCAGCCAGGTCACGATCTCGCGGTCCGTGAGTTCAAGCCCCGCGTCGGGCTCTGGGCTGATGGCTCAGAGCCTGAAGCCTGTTTCCGATTCTGTGTACTCCCTCTCTCTCTGCCCCTCCCCCGTTCATGCTCTGTCTCTCTCTGTCCCAAAAATGAATAAACGTTGGGAAAAAAAACAAAAAAAAAAAACCCAAAAACTATCCTTGCCCTGAATTCCACTACTGGTTGTGGACTTCTGAAATAAAGGATGTTCTACCTTTACTATTTTGGTCTGAGGAGAGCTTTAATTATGAATACAATCATATTGATTAGCCTCACATCTAGAAGGATGTTATCTACAAAACTCTGAAACAAAACCCCATCAAGACCATTTAACTTCTCTACCAATTTTCTGTAAAGAGCAGTTTAAGCATTTCTAATATTCTATAAATTCACTTTCAGTTACTATGATTTCTGCGAGTCAATTCTTTTCATTAACTTTACCCAGAGTTTATCAGATCTTTGTACATATCAAAATTACAGATACAGTTTTTATCATTGTGAGGTTTTTAAATTTTTTAATGTTTATTTATTTTTGAGAGAGAGACACAGAGTACAAGCAGGGTAGGGGCACAGAGAGAGAGAGAGAAAGAGAGAGAGAGAGAGAGAGAGACAGAATCTGAAGCAGACTCCAAGCTCTGAGCTGTCAGCACAGAGCCCGATGTGGGGCTTGAACTCATGAACCATGAGATCATGACCTGAGCTGAAGTTGGACGCTTAACCAACCGAGCCACCCAGGCACCCCCAGGATTATTTTTTTTAAGTGTACATGTAGCCATTATTTCTGCCAAATCAAGTATTTTTAAGTCATATTACATAAATTGGTAAAATTTAAAATGTTGTTCAGAAATCTGATTTGGCTTTTAAGTTTCTAGTTAAATATAATTTTTACCACTTGCAGTTACAATCAGTTTTACTACACACTAACAATTTTTATTAGTTATGCTCATTATAAATTGGGATAAAACAATGATCGTTTGTAGTAGTAAGTCCTTTTAAAGAAGATTAGACCTCGGGGCGCCTGGGTTGCTGAGTCGGTTAAGCATCTGACTTCGGCTCAGGTCATGATCTCTCTTGCATTGGGCGCTGTGCTGACAGTTCAGAGCCTGGAGCCTGCTTTGGATTCTATGTCCTTCGCTCACTCTGCCCCTCACCGCCTCATGCTCTGTCTCTCTCTCTCTCAGAAAAATAAATACAACATTAAAAAAAGTTAAAAAAAAAATAATGATCGTTTGTATCTTTCTTAGCTGATCCATAGATAGAGATCTGCCCTAATATAGGATTGCTTTAAAAATCAAGAATGTTCTCAAGATTAAATGGTCCTTTCCTGAAGCTTTATAATACATACATTTTTTAAAGGCTTTTAGGTTAGCTCTCCTCCCTGCATAAACCAATCTTATAAAAGCCCCAGAAAAAAAGACAAAGAGGGGTGCCTGGGTGGCTCGGTCGGTCAAGCGTCCAACTTCGGCTCAGGTCATGATCTCACGGTTTGTGGGTTCGAGCCCCGCATCAGGCTCTCTGCTCTCATCCCAGAGCCTGGTGCCTGCTTTGTATTCTGTGTCTCTCTCTCTCTCTGCCCCTTCCCCACTCATGCTTTGTCTCTCTTCCTCTCTCAAAAATAAACATTAAAAAAATAAAAAAATAAAAAAACTGAAAGCACTTGATAAAGAAGAGATTTATAAAATAAAAACATTAGTATTAAAGGAGAAAAATTGTCTCTCCTCACTTTTTAAAAATCTGAGTAGCATTAATTCTATTTTAGGATGTCATTCTGTGAAAGAAAACCTTCAATTACCGTGTTATTTCCTATTATATCACTTTATTTCTGCCTTGGTCTTACCGCAGACACGGAATCAGTGTGCCAAAAACAGTGTGCTAGATCCGACACACTGGATAATTTTATACTGTCTGATAACAATCAAGATTCTATACCTTCAGCCCTCCTCCTGGCGTATACGTAATAACACCTATTGTTCAAGTGTGTATCTAAGGCAAATCTGGATCTCAATCTCTTTCAAGACCTACTTTAGTACCTCACCAATAAACAGAGTAACTCACGCAAAAGTCTCCACAGTGCCCCAAAACACTAATACAATAGGTCCAAGCCGTAAAAGAAACAAAGGTACACAGAAGCTTCTATATAAATATTTTTCACTGTTTAAGAAAAACCGGTCCGTGAGGGGTGCCTGGGTCCGAAGCTTCTGACTTCGGCTCAGGTCCTAATCTCGCGGTTCATGGGTTCGAGCCCTGTGTCGGGTTCTGTGCTGACAGCTCGGAGCCTGGAGCCTGCCTTGTATTCTGTGTCTCCTTCTCTCTCTGCACCTCCCCCGCTGGCACCCTGTCCCTCTCTCTCTCAAAAGTAAATAAACATTAAAAACAAAAAAGAAAAAGGAAAACCGGTCCGTTGCATCAGAATATGCAGGCGCTCAGTCCAAGGTTCCAAATAATTACCTGACGCATCCACTTCATTCTGGCCGCACGAGTCATCCAAACACAAGTCAATGAGGAGGACCCGTCCGACGTCCGTCACCACGGCCGCCACACCGAAGAGCCACCGCAGGCCAGGGTGCAAATGCTGAGTGCTCGCGCTGGCTCCACCGTGGTTAATAACAGGCTCGATGGCAGTTACCTTGGAAGCAGAAAGTGAAAAAATACAATGAAACAACAGAAAAATTTGGAGGTTGGAGCAGGTTACTAGCTATAATAGATTTAAACATTTTCTAACAGAGAATTATAAATTTGTATTTGACTTGTGGATCTGAGTAACATCATGAAAACTTCAGGTACAATAGAAATGACACCATCATTTCACCATATAAAATGTGCAGCTGGAATAATAGTTGACGTTTATGAAAACTTACACGCCAGGCCTTGTACTAACTGGTTCATGTAACACTCACGGTAACCCTGGATATTGGATTATACATAAGTGTACCTGTTAAAGATGAAGCACCCCGAAGCCTAGAAAGTTTAACTTGGGTTATTTAAACTCAAACCTAGATTTTTCTCTTTAAAACTATCAACCAGCCACTCCTTCATCATATAGCCTGTTCTCCTGAGGAAGAGTAAAAAGAAATCATTCAAGAAAAATTTACGGGTTTACTCTTTAAAAATAAAAGTCCTGTTTATGCCTTAAAGCCTGAAGAGGTCTAACCTTTATTTTTATTTATTTTTTTTTACATTTTTTAATGTTTATTTATTCTTGAGAGAGAGAGAAGAGATAGAACATAAGCAGGGGAGGGAGAGAGTGAGAGAGGGACACAGAATCTGAAGCAGACTCCAGACTCTGAGCGAGCAGGGCTCGAATGCACGAACCGTGAGATCATGACCTGAGCCGAAGTCAGACACTCGACTGAGCCGCCCAGGTGCCCCTCATGGTCAAATTTTAAACGTCTGTACCTAATAGTCTGTATTTTATTTGCTAGTTCACTTCCTTTCAGTTTCCTATTAATTCACAAAAATTGGGTATGACATATGAAAATTGAGTACTTAGTGATTTCTATTGTAACGCTGATGAATGTCCTAGAAAGAAAAGAGGAAATTTACTATCAATGGGTTATGCATTCACGTCAGAGTAAAAAGTTTGTTTCAGGCTGTAACTTATTATTACAGAAAAAGCCTGGCTGTCTATATTTCATTGGTATACAGAACATTCTACAGAGTTTCTAACTCTGAAAGCTGTGATTTCACGGATTGTCTTTCTGGTCTAACTTCTGGTAGTAATGTCGACAAATACTAAAGCCCAGTCTCTTCAATCCTCTCAGAATGGTCAAGAAATCCAACTCAGTTTGCATTCCTCATACAAATACCATGTGAATTAACTGATAATGGTACCTTAATTAATTTTAAAATGAGACACTTAAAAGCAAACAAATTTAAGAGGGGATACTGTGCCCTGGCCCCAAATCAACTAGTTGACCAAATTCTTCTGAAGGTATCTATCACTCCCCTCCCAATCTTTCCCTTCTGTATTCCCTCTTCTATGGGACACCAAGCATCCACGCAAGGGAGGCACCAGGAACCTACCCACTGCTTGCTTGTTCCTTCTCAAGTGCTCTCATCCAAGTGATCGGCAGGGCCGGTCCGTGTTACCTCCTGAGTGTACTCTACTTCTGTTCCGTCCTCTCCACGTCCACGGTCATTTCCCTGTCCGGTTCCTTATCATCAGCTACCTGAACTACTCCGATCCAACGAGCTTTTGATACTAGAGTTCTGCTTTGCACTTAAAATGACTTCACCAAAGACTTCAGGTGGAGATCACTAACTGCAACACGTCCATTCACTCTCTCAACCCTCACCATTCCTAGACCCCACCTCCTCTGTCCCCTCCTGCAGCCATTCTAAATAAGCCCAGTTCCTAAATGTTCCACATACTAGGACTTTTTACATGCTGGTCTCTTTGCCTAAAATGTCCAACCTCTATAAGCAGAAATCATCCAGGTGTTTCCATGTTCCGTGTGCTTGAGTTTATCAGACAAAATAGTTACTGGATTTAGGCTGTAATCTCATTACCTGTCTTTTCCCACTAGATGACTAGCTTTTTCAACGGCATAGACCAAGTTCTATTTATCTATTTATCTCCAAAATTTAGGACACAGCTTGATTGACAGTAAGCACTCAATAAACTGCTAAATTAATTCTGACTTTAAAATCAACACTGGCAAGTAAGTACATTTAAGATACCAGGCTATGACCACTTCAGACCCCAACACTGCCCACTGAATCAGTTTCCTCAAACTGTGAAAACATAGTATTTTGACATTTACCTCCCTTTTAACTTTAAAGATTCTATTCTAGGGGCGCCTGGGTCACTCAGTTAAGGGACTGACTTCGGCTCAGGTCACGATCTCCTTGTCTGTGAGTTCGAGCCCCACCTCGGGCACTGTGTTGACAGCTCGGAGCCTGGAGCCTGCTTTGGAGTCTGTGTCTCCCTCCCTCTGCCCCTCCCCTGCTCACATTCTGTCAAAAATGAATAAATGTTAAAAAAATTTATTTTTATTTTTCTTTTAGTATTTATTCGAGACAGAGAGACAGACAGTGCAAGAGTGCGTAAGCAAGGGAGGGGCAGAGAGAGAGAGAGGGAGACCCAGAATCCCAAGCAGGCTCCAGGCTCCGAGCTGTCAGCACAGAGCCCGAGGCAGGGCTCGAACTCACGAACCGTGAGATCATGACCTGAGCCAAAGTCGGACGCTTAACCAATTGGGCCACCCAGGTGCCCCCCCAAAATTTTTTTAAATGAATCCATTATTTAAATATCATTTGACTCTTAAAAAAAACAACAAACATTCAACTCTTCAACAACAGTGAAGACATATTTCCCCTACTGCTCCAAGGCTGCAGTCTCAAATTAAAAAGAAAAAACAAACCAAAAAAACACTATAGTAATGAATATTTTAATATAAACTTCCAGTGTCCTCGTAAAACACAAGTGAAGACGACAAGACACAGATGACCCTCTTCATACAAAAGAGCATCAGAACAACTAGGTCATCCCTATTTTCACTTTGCAATTTTCTAACCAAGTATAAAAAGTTCTATTTGTTACTTGTTATCGAAAGAACTTAACGTTCTTTCTTAAATTTTTTTTTTGTAGAGAAATTTAATTTTTATTTAATTTTTATTATTGATATATATATCAATTTTTATATCAATTTTATATCAATTTATATCAATATATATCAGTTACATATCAATTTGATATATATATCAATTTTATATATATATTTATTTAATTTTTATTATTGATAAAAAAGTAAATGAATGACATATTGAGTAGTCAGGGGAAATTTAAAAGAATACCTCAAATGTTGGAATTTATATTATTATAAATGTTTGTATTATTGCATGAAGTAATTGCATAAATTATTGAATGGCTCCATGATAATCTAGACATCTAGTCCACAGCATTATTAAATTTTTTTTTTTTTTTAAAACATTTATTTTTGAGACAGAGAGAGACAGAGCATGAACGGGGGAGGGTCAGACAGAGAGGGAGACACAGAATCTGAAACAGACTCCAGGCTCTGAGCCGTCAGCACAGAGCCCGACGTGGGGCTCGAACTCACGGACTGCGAGATCATGACCTGAGCTGAAGTCGGACGCTCAACCGACTGAGCCACCCAGGCGCCCCTAAATTTTTTTTTTAATATTTATTTATTTTTGAGAGAGAGGCAGAACATGAGCAGGAGAAGGGCAGAGCGAGGGAGACAGAATCCAAAGCAGGCTTCACACTCTGAGCTGTCAGCACAGAGCCCGACACGGGGCTCGAACCCACGAACTGTGAGATCATGACCTGAGGCGAAGTCGGACGCCCCACCAACTGAGCCCCCCAGGCGCCCCAAGAACTTAATGTTCTTTCGATAACATACTGCCTTTAACCTCTGTATTTTGAACTTTTAATGAAAAACAACTATTCCACAAAAGTAAATGAACTGTAAAAATGTATAGCTCAATGAATTTTCACAAAGCAAACACAAGTGTGTGACCAGCAGGGGCTTAGTTCTGAAAGCAGAATGCTCACGAATCTTAAGCAGTACCTACCCGGGGCACCTGGGTGGCTGTCGGTTAAGCGTCTGACTTCGGCTCAGGTCATGATCTCACGGTTTGTGGGTTCGAGCCCCGCGTCGGGCTCTGTGCTGACAGCTCGGAGCCTGGAGCCTGCTTCGGACTGTGTGTCTCCCCCTCTCTCTGCCCCTCCTATGATCGTGCTCTGTCTCTCAATAATAAACTAGCGTTAAAAAAAAAAATTATTAAAAACAAAAAACAGTACCTACCCTTCCAGGAAGAACAACGGCTTTAACCACTCTGGACACACCGAGGTCATAAAGGCAGAGAACACTCCCTTCCGCTTCCTCTAGTCCGATTAACAACCCGGTTCTCTTCTGCCAGGAGAACTCCTTCATAGCCAGGACGACAGGAGGCTGCTGACTCACTCCATTGAATCGATATGCAGACAACCGCGCTCCTGTGAGAAAGTTTACTACCTCAAGCTGTGGACCACAAGCCAGGCAAGCAAGTGCGTTTCTCCCTAGAAGAAGAAGAAGAAAACAGCAAAAACACTGCTTATTTCGATGTACACCGCATAACTAGACAGAAGTTAGAGGTTTTACACATATGACACGTAGCTCATTATGTGTAACTTGACGCATTATCTCTAAAGTGAAATCTAACCATTTATGGAACACAGTGGTCCAAAGATTAGTAAAATATATTAGACAACTATTATCTCAATAATAAGGTAAACCTTTGGGTAAAGGCACCATGCTATATGCTAAAACAGACCATCTCATTTAGTCCTTGTCACACCCCAATACAGAGAAAAAGCAACTGAACTTTCACACGGTTAACTAACCTGTCCCCAGCCAGATGGCTACAAATACCGCGGCCAGAAGTGGATCACAAGCCTAACTCCACAGCTCACACTTTCAATACGTTATACCTCAAGAGTTAAACGAGGCGCTCCGAGGCTCATAAAACGTAACCCATGAGTCTATCCCCGAAGAGTTCAAAATCTAACTGAGAAGACAAGACATAACTAGTATAACAACAGGAAATGCCAGAAGCCCTTCTGAACCCCTCACCAGCCACGTTTGGATCTTATCATGTACACAGTGTAAAGTAATAGGAGCTTTTTAACCTATCTGATTTCTGTTTTCAAATGTTACCCTCGCTGCTAAGCAGAAAAGGGACAAGAAGGAGCACAGGACACAGGTGCGGAGACGACACCCTATGCCTGGTCGGCGACCGTGAATGAAGAAAAACGGACTGACTAGAGATTCATCTTAGAGACAGGACTAAAAGGCTGTGCTTGCTGATGAAGACATGGGGAGGAAGTGAAACAAGAATCGAGAACAGACTCGAATTTTCCCTTGAGCAGCTGGGTCAATGGTAACTTTTAAATCTGTGAGGTCTACCACGCATCCAAGTACACAGCTGGATAAACCAGGTTACAGCTACGGGAGCCTCCACGGTTTCAGGAAAGAGCGTGGCACAATGGGGACCCAGAACACATGGATTCAGAGATAATTTTCACCACTTGCTGTCTGCACAACTGGGAGCAGGTGACTTAACCTATTGGATTCTTAGTTGCACAGAAGAGTGTCTACTTAGAAGAGTCTAATACCTCAGTTGAAGTTGTTACAGTGCCTGGCGCGACAGTAAGTACCGTCACTACTGTCAATATTCAAGAGGGTAGCACTGTAAATAGCCACGTGACCCATATGTTTTACTGTCTACCCGCCAGGATGGATAGCTGTGAAATTCATTTTCAGAAAAGGCGCCTGCAGCATCTTTCACTAGACTGAAATCCACAATTTGATGGCTACTCTGGTATGGTTTTCTGCTCTATTATATGACCAAAACTATCTATTAAGATCTTATTCAAGTTAACGGAATTAATAAGTAAGACTTTCTGGGTATTACTCGGGGCCCTACAATCAGATTTTTCTACTCATAAGACTATTCAGATTCTAATCCAAATTCATCACCAATAAAACTTACTGATTATAAAGAAATAACAGCTGTGTATTATTTCTGCCTTCTAAATATGAACAGTCGATATTAAACATTCAATACTAAAAGATATAGTATATACGTAGTGTAGAGATAAAAAACGCACAGGATTTTTAATAAGGAAAAACCCACCCAAGGTTCACCGGAAATGTGTTCTCGAGTATTCGGGTGTTACTACACATGCAGCTGTAGCTGCTAGATGTTTATGCAAGACGACTACAACTGGGTGTCGCGGTTTTCTCCACGTTAAAGGAAATTACAATACGTGCTTATTATTCTCTTACAAATCAATCACATCAGTAAATTTTCAGTAACGTTATTTTACCTGGAGTGAGCTTGCCATGAAGCACACATTCTGACGTCACTCCATCTTCCGCAAAGGCTTGCACGGTCACCTCTGGCAAGCGCAGGAGAGCCGTCACCTGTGCTGTTAGGCCGCGCATGCTTTCACTGTAAGTATTTGTAAAAGATAACATTATATTCGTACTACAATATGCCTAAGCCAGAAGAAAAAAACAAACAGCCACCACACGAGAGTAAATAAACTAAAACTAAAATCTGATCATAAAACACATTTTATGTGCTTCTGGGTCTGAGGTACTCCCTCCTAATAAAATGTTTCCCAACGGCTTTAGGAGTAAAGATTTATTAAGCCAGATGGCCTAAGGATATACATGATTCCCCAGACTGTTTGAAGCCTGGTTCTGTGCAATTAATCTTATTGCCTGACTTATTCTGAAAGAACACTTCACACACAAACAGCAAAAACTGATGTATTTTACAAAAACTACTGCTATAGGAAAGGGGGAGAAAGTCCACAAAAAGAGTCCAAATACACAATAATCTCAGGGATTGAGTTTGGGACAGATCTTTAACTGGATAGAAAAAAAACTGAAAATTATCTTTCACTTCCAACGTATAGAAGATTAGATTCCTGGAATGACCCTTCTATTGTCAACGACCAAAAATAATGGTTAAAATACCACTTGTGGTTGAATGAAATCGGCAACGTCAAACACGAAGAGACAGCAGGAATTTTGGAAATTAGCTACCAAATCCACTGCCGGTGACTGTGATCTTCTTCTGAGACTCTTGAGATCCACGGAGGCAGAAGGTAAAGCCAAGGGCTGGCAGAGCCAAGGCAAGCTAAGAAGAGCCCCCACACTGAACTCCATAGGCTGTATCATCGGCACCAAGGCCAGCGAGAAAAGCACCCAGTGTGCAAGACGGGAGCAATAATGCTGCCCATTTTGACCATGACTGTGAGTCTCTATTCAGAAAATTTCCCTTCACACAAATTGGTGGCCAGAATTCAAGCTACGTTATCTGAAAACACCCAGGGAAGGATTTCTTATAAATTTTTCTCAGGTTGGTAATGCTCCACACAATCCACAGAAACCACCACACAGTCTCCAGAATCTCAAAGAGTTCTCAAAGATGAAATTCCAAGAAAATGAGCTCACAGTCAAATAACAAACTGTAACAAGGATACCATGATCAACAGCCAGCAGAATCAGCTTCAGATGTTGAAAACGATCAGAGAACAGAAATTACGTTTAATAGGTTTAAAGAAATCAAAGTTCTAGCTTGCTAATGAGGAAGAAACTTCACAAAAATAACGAAAAGTGGTCAAGCGGATTTGACAAAAATTAGAGAACTTATGGAATAAAAAATTAAGTAAAATTGAGAACTCAACGGAGAAAAAACCTCAATGGAGTTATAAGAACTGTGGCATACGCAACAAGATGGAAAAACGCCAGAGTACGACACTAAACAATAAAAGGAGAAAATACACGCAGAATGATTACATATACATAGAGTTAAAAAGGCTGTGAAACTAAGCAAAATAATACCTAAGAATACAAACATGTAGAGCAAAACTATGAAAAAAACAAGGAAACCATAAACACAAAAACCCAACAGTAGTTTAAGAGGGAAAGGGACGGGAACGCAAGGACTCCAAAGTAATGTTCTTTCTCTAAAACCCCATGGTGAGCAGACACGTATTCACTGCACACGTATTCTTTGTAACTTACAAATATTCTTTTTCATATCCACTCAGCAAATAGTCCTTTTGTACCTAAAGTCAACAAAAACCAAATCAAAAAGTAAGTAACATGGCATACTAGAAAGAGAAAGAGAGCCCCAAAACTCTTGCAGAACCTAAGACAGAAAAAAAGAAATGAGCAGTTGGAAGTTATAGCCAAGACGGGCGCCTGGCTGGCTCAGTCGGTGAAGCATCCAACTCCTGATCTTGGGACTGGGAGTTTGAGCCCCCAATTGGGTATAGAGATTACTTAAAAATAAAGTCTTAAAAAGTTAGAGACAAGAGAGGGAGAAGGGCCAACATATGTTTATTCCAAATCCCTCAGAATATAACATTAAATGATAAGGTAGAAGCAATATTCTGAAAGATACTTCCCAGACTTGGACACACCAATTCTTTGGAATCAGGAGGACCAGTGAATCCTATAGAGAATAAATAGAAAGAAATGACTTTTCAACAACAGTGAAAGCCAGAAGTCTGGAATATCTTCAAAATTCTAAGCAAAAATAGCTGTCAACATATAATTATAGATCACTGAAGTTATCATTAGATATGAAACACGTTTTTAGAAAAACAGAGTTCACCACAAATAAACTCTCCCTTAACGAGAGTTTGAAAAGATTATCTATAGAAGGCTTCAGGTCGAATGGTGATCCGATAAAAGATCTGAGATGCAAAGAGATGCAGATATCTGCAGTGGGTTCCCTGAATCTTTATATGATCAGCGTAAGCATGTAAGGAAACCACCAGAGGCCAAGGAATGGATCACTGGAAAAACAGAAGGGAAACTGTCCCTAAAGCTTACAGAAGGCCAGGAATAGCTCCAGAATGGAAAAGCCTTATAATATATGAGGACTGAGTAGAGTACTTGGAATGGTGTTGATTGCTTCAGTGGGGGTGGGGGTGGGGGGTAAAATTAGCCCTTGTCTAATACTCATTCTGGTCCTGTATAAACAAAAGCAAGCCTCAAAAGAATCAAACTGTTTCCAAATAACTAAGCTGCACCCTAGAACAAGGAAGCCTCAAGAATATATAAAGGAATGCAAAAAAATATTCAGTACTCAAGAAAGTGAAATTCACAGTATCTGGCATCCAGTCAAAAACTGTCAGGCATGCAAAAGAAGTGGGAAAATATGACCTATAGTAAGGCGGGGGGGGGGGGACCATAACCAACAGAAACAGACCAGGAAATGACACAGAAGTTGGAATTACATGAGGACTCGAAATCAGTTATTCTAGCTATAATCCCCATGTCCAAGAAGACAGAGGAAAGCATAAGCACATCAAGGAAAGACTCAGACTCAGAAGATATTTAAAAAGACTAAGTCAAACTTCTAGAGATGAGAAATATGCTGAAAGAGATTCATAGACACAGAAAGTATTACTGAATGTAAACATCCACAATAGAAATGATCTAAAATGAAGCACCAAGAGAAAAAAGGCTGGGGCAGAAAGGGCAAGAACAGAGCATCAGTGGGCTGTGGGACAAACATTAAGTACCCTAATATATGCAAAAGCAATCTCCAGAAAGAGAGAATAGGCATATTTCAAAACTATTGGCCAACATTTTCCAAATTTGATGAAAACTATAAACCCACCATCAAAAAGGTCGCTAAACCTCAAGCACCAGAAACATGAAGAAACTCTCCCCCCCCCCCCCCATACATCCTCATCAAGGGACAAAATCTTACAAGTGTCACACCGCAAAGAGGAAAAAGGTAATAATGACAGGAGACTTCTTGTGGAAAATGATGCAAGCCAGAAGACAATGGAACAATAACTGAAAGAAAACAATGGAACTGAAAAAAAAAGCTGTCAGGCTAGAATTCTACATCCAGTGAAAACATCACTTAAATACAGAAAACAAAATGAGGGTTGATGGGGGTGGGAGGGGAAGGGTGATGGGCATTAAGGAAGGCACTTGTTGAGATGAGCACTGGGTGTTATATGCAAGTGATGAATCACCGGCATCTATTCCTGAAGCCAAGACTACACTGTATGTCAGCTAACTTGAAAATACATTTTTAAAAAAAAAGGTAAAATAAAGTAGATCTGCACTACAAGGAATGTTAAAGAAATTCCTTCAGGACGAAAGAAAATGATACCAAATGGAAATCTAGATCTACACAAAAGAATACAGACCACCAAAAACTGGCAATTATCTCCTTAGAAGACAATTATCTATTTGAAGCAAAAATGACAGTAACATATGTAATTGATAACATATTTACAAGTTAAATGACAATAACACAAGGCTTTGAGAGGAGAAATGGAAGCACAGTTACAAAGTTCTCATACTGTATGTTAAATGCTCTAATGCTGTTTGAAGGTAGATGGCAATAATTTAAAGATGTACACAGTAAACCCTTGAACAACCACTGAACACACACACACGCACTGAACTATATCGCTAATTTACCAATGAAAGAGATAAAATATCACCATCAAAACTTAATCCAACAGATGGCACAAAAAGAGGGAAAATGAAAGAACAGATGGGACAAAAAAAAAATTGGAAGATAGTAGATTTAAACCTAACCATTTTACATCCACATTAATGAAATGACTTTAACGATCCAATTAAAAAGCAGACTGTCAGATTGGATTTTTTTTTTAAAAGCAAGAGTTTAAGTAAAAAGGCTAGCTAGGTTGAAAGTAAAAATGGAAGCTAGATCATGCTAACACTGATTAAAAAAAAAAAAAAGGGTAGAACAGCCATATGAATATCAAAGTAGAATTCAGAGCAAAGAATATTACCAGGGATAAAAAGGTTCATTTCATTATGATAAAGTGCTTAACTCACCAAGTGAACATTAACAATCCTGAACATTTATATTGAATAATAGAGCTTCAAAATAAATAAGGCAAAAACTAGGAGCTGAAAGGAGAAACATAAAAACCCACAGCTGTAATTAGAGATTTCATCACGTCTCTCTCCACAAGTGATAGAACAACTAAACAGAAGAGCAGTAAGGACACAAAAGACCTAAACACATCTGGCCAACCTGATTGATTTTTATAGATGATTCTACCCAAGAACAAAAGACTACACACTCTTTTCAAACGCACACAAATGACTTACCAAGATAGACTATATCCTGAGCCATAAAATCTCAAATTTAAAAGGATTCAAATCATACAAAGCCTTTCCTCTGCTCACAAGGAAACTAAAAAGCAGTAAAACATCTGGAAAATTTACAAATATCTGGATACTAAATAACACACTTCTAAATGAGCCATGGATCAAAGAGATCAAAAGGGAAATGAAAGTACTTTGAACTGAATGAAAATGAAAACATGACGTATCAAAATTTGTGTGATGCAGTATAAAGCAGTACTTAGAGGGAAAGTGATAGCACCAAACCTCTGTAAGATCTCAGATCAGTAACCTAAGCT